CTTCTATGATTGAGAAAACTATCGGTTTACTCACTGCCTCACATCCACGATCTGATTTGCGACGCTTAGATTGTTTCGCAACGAGTTGATTTAAAAATAAAACTGAGGTCTTTGCACATGACCCACTTGTTCATCATCGAATTGAAATAGGCGTTGAACATACCACATTTATTCTCTTATGACTTTATTGTTATTTAACTCAATTGTACCCACCCAACTCTTAGGAAAGTGTTTGTCAGTATGTGCGAATAAACAGACTTCCAAGCTTCTTTGACCAAATATATGACCATGAGATTGTATATTTTGGCTTTTGTGTCGGATTTCTCATCTCCTTCCATATTCTACGAAACATACTCTGATAACTGTTTCCGAAGAGAACATTTGAAGGACCACGTTACACCCTGAGCCATGAATTGTAGCAACAAATAGCCTGCAGGCGGCCATGCCAACTTTACATTGGACAATGCAGTGATCTTATAATGGCAAGAAGTGTTGTGTTGTTTTGTATTGTGCATAACTTTTGGAAGCAGTGAAGCTTTCGGTTACAAAAGCTATAAACACCAACCATCTTACAAGACAGATTCAACGGGAAGATAATGTTTACAGATATGTTGACATTTCAAAGTGTAAGACAAATCTCACTTGTTGCCTATTCTTCGTTCGTTGGTAAACATGCAAGAGGGGGTAAAGGTAAATTTCGGTAAGCGTTTATTCGAGAGAAAACTTGGCGAACTGGGAGGGTGGGGAGGAATGGGAACAACAGCGTGTCGGTAATTTGTGCAATGGGTGGTCAAAATAAGAATCCCCTCCACAAATGTTGTATGATACAAGAAACAAGGTTAATAACAGTTAGACTGTGACGTAAAACTTCTAAATCCAGTTTCAGTAGGCCAGGAAAAATAACGGGAACAATAAATAAAGATGGGGAAAATACACGGATACACAAAGAGGATGATCGTCAAACGTATAGCTCAAGGGTAAGGGTTTGAAGTCCCAGCGCGAATAATCGCGGTTCGAGTCCTCACAGTTACACAAAAGGTATGAACTGCTGACGAGTCCCAAACAGGACGAAACAGCGGTCCAGAGCTCTTCGTCGGTTATCATTTCCATCACGATCACTGACAACGTTAATATAGACTGCTGAATGCTAATCAGGATAGCCTTTTCTACTTAAGAGCTGAGGATGCTAACCCTATGGGACGAAAGTGTTTGGGGATAATAGAAGATTTGGATGCTTTGGGGATTGGTATTATTGTGACCGGCCTCCAACAGTCGAGGATAGTAGAAGTGTAAAGAGATTCATTTAAAATGGGGTGATAACCCCAGAGAAGGAACACCAAATTTGAAGAGTTTTGAGGTTTTGAAGGCCAGAAGTAGCGAAAACAAAATCGGATATGGTTAGATCGGGAAAAATATTTATACGCACCGTGTGATAGAATTTTAAGTAGAACTAAGAGTAAACAGCGGTCGCTGGAAGAAATAGGTGCTTTTAGTGCCTAGGAAAAAAAGGGTCGGGTGATTGGTGATTACCCTGTCTACTCCAGAATTACCTCTTGTGGGAGAGCGACAAAGATCTGTCATACCTATCGATAAGGGAGGATAAGTACTAGTATCGTCATAGTAGCCAACGATTTCGTGTAGGTTAACTTCTAAAAGTGGGGCAATTAAGGGAATGAACGAGTCGAAGAATGACATACGCTTTGCTTGTGTATAGTAAAGTGCCATATACAAGTTAGTGAAAATTATGAGTAGAAAGGGGAAATCTTGGGTAACCTTACACGGTTAGGCACACACACTTTTTAGCAGTACTGAAAAATAAAACGGGACTTGCCACACCAGGAAACGACGTATGTCACGCCACCCCCTCCAATCTTCCTACCTCTAGTTCGCTGATCCTGTCGGTAAAATTGAAAACCGTCAATCGACACTACAGTGTTACGTATTTCCTTATTCAACCAAGATTCTTGTACACAGAGTGAATAAGTGTTCATACAAATTATTGAATGGAGGACGCTGGTTTAATTCAACATTTTTGGAAACTGGGTCCGAGTGTTAGCGCTGACCAATGAGGGAACAATTATCTTGGCCAAAGGGGTTCAATTAAGAGCAACTTGTCATTCTGCATGTTTTTTCACCCAACCTGGACAGTGTGAAATTGGAGTTGCACAAGTCGATGAACCATCGAAAGACGACTGGCACGTTTGAGACAAATGTATTCCCGTGATAAGGGGCGACGCATGGTACTGAATGAAAATTTGGATATTCTAACAATGGAACAAATAGCGTATAAGTGTGGAGAGCCAATCGAAAGGCTCATTATCTATTAGCAGTTAGATATCCATCTCATACATCGGTCAACTAACAAGTGAGTTTTGGAAATGGTGACATTGCATAGTGAAAGTTTGATTTGAGAAACTATAGCTTTAATTTGCTATACTGAGGAGGAAACACCGGTTGAATCCCGTTCAACGCTTTTCATTGGTTCGCTTTTTCAGCCCCTGATTGATCACCTGTCTTCCCTCGTTCCTTCTATGATGATGCGGACGCTGCCGGACGTCAATTCAGTTGTTCGATGAAACGGTGTGATTTGTGCGAGACAGTTAATTTGGACCCGTGCGCTATAACCAACTTACAACTCGGACTTCGACGTTAGCTCAGTCTATCCATGTCCGTTCACTAGGATAGCTCAATCACAAAAGTTTCCCGCAGTAACTAAGACGAGGGACGAATTCGATGCTTATGGTGTACGGTGCACTTTTCATTACGCTGATCTTGGCCCGATTAAAATGATCAAGTTTGCTGAGAGGGTTGCGTTGGAGTTATCGAAATGAAATTTTGGTGACTGGATTGTTTTTCATCAAGGCTTCACAAACACAACCAATTACGCCTCAACTGTAGCTTGCCCACTCCCGGCTCAATAACGGGTAGAAGTGAAGGAAACAGAACGTTGTCGATTTGTTTGACAAAAAGAGATTTTTCAAGCGGATACTCGTTGTCAGAATAAGTGTATTTCGATGACGAACACCCACAAATCATATAGCATTACAGCAAATTTCTTACACAAGTTCGTGGTTAGCAAACGAACTGTGCGAAAACATAAGGACCACTGTGGGGCCACCAAGAATGAACTACAGAAACCTTCCGGCAGAAATGCAAAATAATTCGACGGAAATGAACGTCAGGTCTGCCTCATTTCACCAGTTTGGGAAAGCAGGTGGGAAATCCGGGGATAGGAAGATTCTGTGATCGAGTGACCAATGCGGTGCGTTGTGCAGAAAAGGATCCAAACACTGCGTTTCCTGCTCAATTTATTGTGACATTTTCGCAAGGAAGCTTGAAATGGTATACTTTATTACTTATACATTGTTTAGTTTTTACTTCTATGTGGAAACATGCGACTGCTCATGGGTGCGGCATAGCAGAAGATTGACTGCGCATCATTGTTCCTTCATATATTGTTTCTTTTGACGTAATCCTTACGGGATTGACCAGACGAAAGCATATAGATGTCTCAGAACTTTGAACTAAAATCTATTGACTGACGAAAGCCGTAGACGCAAAGCAGGGCTTTTGAGCATGAAGAGATCAATACATTGGAGTGGTGAACAGTTAAGTCAATCTTCAGTCAATACCCGGTGATTCACTGAGCCCGAAGCACTGCTGAATTTCAGTTTTGGTTCATTTGTACTTTTATCCGGTGAAACTGTCACATGGCGAACCGTGATCGCAACTCAGAGGCCGTTCATAAAACCTCCAGAATGATCGGTGGGTTAGGCTACGAAACCCCATCACTTTAATTTGACTGTTTTCTTCTCGTGCAAAACAACTCACAATTGTCAGTGATGACAAGATGAACTTAAGGGACGGCAAAAACGTACTTCTGGCTCGATTCAGCTCTGGAGGTCTGACATTTTGGGAAACGTGCGAAGAATTCAAGCGTTTCAGTCTGCTAAAAGGAAAACCGGCTACCTCAATTGTGAAAAAGTGGAAAGAGCGTTTTCTTGAAACGGGACTGATTTAGAGAAGAACGAGTGGGTTGAGGGACAAGCCAGTAGCCACCGAGGAGAAAAGCAATATCGTGAAAATGCCTGCATTTCCAAAACCTAACTCTCTATTCGCAAATTATGTCCATAGCTCTCAACCACAAAGTTTGCTGTCTCTTCTTTCCTTGTACTCTTACGAGTTTTTTCCATGGGCCAGCGATACAGGAATCGGATTAACCGAAGCGTGTGAAGTTTTCAGAATAGCTTACGCGCACCTTGCTGACTCAGACATCGCTGGTTGCGGAAGTAACCAAACTTACGGCATTCCGTAAACAAACTAAAATAAAATATCAAATTGGCATCCCAACGAGAATCAAACTAATCCAATAAAGAAATGGTAGTTAGTTGTGACAAACTACTGCTCAGTTTTAGTGCGATTGGAATAAGTATTCTGATTTTTCCCACGAAATACGTGAATCACCTGAGAATGAAGTAATGGAAAACTGTCGGATCTCCAAACTGTGCTGTTTTGAATGCCGTGATGTATAAATTTTAGGCTTTCCCTGCTCTCGAACCACTCCTCTGGTTCTTTATGAGGATAGAAAAGTTGTTTGGCACATAGCCTAGCGTTAGACATGTGATATATATATATATATATTCATATTTAAGTGAGTAATGGAGGATTTGATTCAATTTCAAAGGTGATTTCGTCGTGTATATAACAGGGACTGTGGCCCGCAACAAAATCACAAAGATGGGTTGTGCTATATCGTATAAATGGAAAATGAAAAACCAGTTGAAGACCAGTTGCCCGGTGGCCGAGTGGGTAGCATGCTTGCGTTCTGCCCATGAGGTCCCGGGCTCGATCCCCAGTTGTGTCGATGGATTCGCACTACTGATGAGACCCAGCCAGATCGAAACAGCTGTCCAGTGCTTCATAGCTTTTCAGTTCACGCTTCATTTGCTACACGACGAATTCACCTTTATATATATACATATATCCATATATACAGCGAGCTAAGGTGAGGATAAAATTCCGAGATTACTGTCAAGAAACCTGAAGGACTCACCTCTGGCACAATATTTTTCATAACTATCCCAATTCGGCCACTGATTGATGATGATCGCTCCCGGATTTTCAACTGCACGCCATATCCATGGTTCGTTCTGGCACACGACGAGTGGAACTCCACCGAAACGTTGAACGAGACATTCTAATTCTGGCAGATATTTCGTTTCGTATAAATCTTTGAAGCTTACATGTAAACTGGTAATTTCGAGGATGGGATAACCTGGTTCGAAAGTAGTAGGATACATAATTGCACAGTTATTGCCTGAACTGAAAGAATGGATGAAAATATAACTATGTTTTTCGTGATTCAGCAAAAGCCGTCATTTACACCCAGTGCAAAGACACGACAATTGCTTGTACGTCCTCCGAGAAAGGCAGTCATCTTAAATTTGGTCTTAGAAGCTTCCTCATCACAGTGACCATTGAATAAATCAACTTTCGTTTTTCTATTGCTAATACAAGTTTAGCTTTGAGTTACGGGTTTCTGTGTTGAGAAAACAGTTTGCGTTGCTCATCTCAATGTTGAAATAAAGTGTCCTGATAAAACGAACTAATTTTTCAACCCTAATTATATGTAGTTGTTACAAGTTATCCTTGAGGTAAACTTTAAAGAAAAGACAGTTCAGTATTATGCACATAAGCTAAAAGAAACACTTTGCGGTGAAGCTTTCGAAAACCTACTTATTTTTTTCATATAAATCTTAATTTGCTTTGTGCAATAATATTAAAGCTGCCAAAACATGTTGCCAGCTAATAAAAATAGATAAATCATCGAAAATTCCCATCTCGGCAAGGAGAGAAAACTCGATGGTTTTAGCAAACAAGCTCGTTTTCGACAACTTCTTCTTCGGGCTAATACAGTTATGTATTCAAATTCAAAACAAAATAATCGTCAATGGCTATGTGTAATTTGTGGTTTTTGATTGTTTTTGGTGTGTGGTTGAAAAAGGGGTGGGATGGGAGGATGTGATCGTAAGACGGTCAGGTAAACAATTAGGACTCCCATTCAAGGGAGATTATAATAGTGAACTTGTGACACGACGGTTAGAAAGAACAATCTCCCGAACTTTTCCTGCCGCCNNNACCTTAAAGATAAATTACCTATCCATGTCTCATCCGTGGTCACCTATTCTTTTCTTTGCTCATGTTTGGCAAGATATGTCGGCAGAACGACCAGGCAATTGTCGCAAAGAATCAAGGAACAAAAACCGGTCTGGTTGCATTTAGGCACAGGAAAAACGATTTCAAGTGCAATCGTAGCCCATCTTGCCGATACTGGGCATCAGCGTGACGATGACGCATTTCGAATCATCTACAAGGTGCCACCAAACCCTTCGAAAACCGCCCGTCAACGTCATCTCGCAACAGCCAAAGCCGTGGCCATTCGATTATTAAACCCATCGCTCTGTTCTCAAAAACGATTCGTACAATCACTCAGACTGCCCTGACCACGACGTGATACAGCCCCAGATAGACATGACCTTTCCCATAACCCCGCGACCTTAACACATGATGACACGTCCAAATCCTAATTGCTTTCCTCAAGTCAAGTCAAGGAATGGCTTTATACACCCCGATAGGTGTATATTCAGCAACCACATAACCATAGTGAGTCAAAAAATACGTAAAACACGATAGTACAGCAGTACAGCAGTTAAGGGACAGCAACAACCAAAATGAGTGGCACACCTGGGTGTTCATGAGGGATTTAGTGTAGTGTTTGACGCAGATTTCCCGTAACGAGGTCTTGGTTTGTTAGAAATCTGGCGAGATAAGGAACAACAGACCGCCTGTAAGCTTGAGTGCGAGTCTTTATGAGTTTGTGAGTAGAACGGGTGGATGAGTGAGAAAGGCAGTCGCTAAGAGAGGAATAAAGAGGATGGGAGATATCAGATAAAATCTTATTAGAGAATGTTTAACAGGATTTGAAGTGATGTGTCACCACAAACTCTGCTAGATGTTCCCGTGGTATGAGACTACAAATGGAGATAAATGTGAGGGATCGGGAAATGAGTTCGAGGTCCTTGTTCAAAAGACCAGAAAAGATAACAGGGAACCCATAAAGCCAATGTGGCAAAACGCACGCAAAAACAAAACACCTTATGAGATGGTTTAGAATGGAAAAGGGATTTAAGGCGTAAAACAAAAAGTAAGCCTCCTGACCTTCAAAAAAAACGTCACTGACATGGTCAGACCAGGTGAGGTTATGATTAAAAATAATACTCAGGTATTTGACAATCGGTTTTCGTACCATCTGCTCACTCAGGATAGATATAGGTGGGCTGGCGTTTGATAATTCATCAAACTTTTGCCCTTTCAGTAGAGAAAATATTACGTCACTACATTTTTGGGGGTTCATGCAGAGGTTTAGTTGTTGTGACCATTCAACTTATCCGGTCACGTCTTCTTGCAGAGTCGTTTGTAATGATGAGTTCGGGTAGGGCAGTCCGAATATTATATCATCTGCATACTTGACGAGAAGAGAAGAATTGCTCACAGGCATAGAGGAAATGTAGGCAGAAAATAGGAAAGGGGATAAAATGGCGCCTTGTAGTACGCCTATTGAGGAGGGCAGCAGTGAAGATGTACGTCCTTTGTAGTGTGTGAACTGCTGACGGTTTGAAAAATAGTTGGCCAAGAGTTCAATCGTAGAAGGTTGAACTGCTCCCGAAGACAGGGTATTTAACAAAGTTTGTCGGTTAATCGTGTTGAAAGCATCACCATAGTCAAGAAAACATATGCGGACAGCCTTATTTTTCTTGTCCAGGTGAGATAAAACATAGTGGGATAGGTAAGCAAGGGCATCCAGGGTACCACGGGAATGGTGTATGCATACTGGTTAGGGTCAACAACATTGAATTGTGTGGACAGGGTCTTAAGGAGGAGCCTCTCAAGACAACTGAGGTGCAGGCAATGGGACGGAATTTTGAGGATCCTTTCTTAGGCACAGGGGTGATAGAAGCTAGTCGCCAACAGTCGGGTATACGTTGCTGCAAAATGTAGTCATTGNAGCACATTCTTTCAGGACAGTGGGTGAAACTCCATCGGGGCCGCCGGACTTGTGAGGATTCAACTGAGACAACTCTTTATAAATATCGACAGGTGCAACGTTGGAGACGGGGTCAATGTTGTTTACTTCATATCCATTAGTTAGAGCAGTGAAAGCGGTTCCGTCGTTGATGAAACTCCGGTTCAGACCATCTAT